CGGGCAGCCACGCGCCGTAAACGATGGGTACGGCCAGCACATGTGTACCACCGTCGTCCGAGGCGTGGAAACCGGAAGAACGGAGCGTGGTCAGCCAGGGACACTTGGGATCGAGCTTGCAAAATCGGAAATGAGCTCCGATGCGAGAAGGTCATTTTGATTCGGAGCAAGCCGAGCAAGCCGACCAAACAACAGTGGATCGATTTGAACTAATTCCGCCAATCACACTTCTTGTTGAACTTTGGCAGCCAATCACTGTCATCGAATTTTCGGAGACAGGCTTTGATTGGTCAAAGCGAAGACATGGAAAAAAATGTCAGCGCGGGAAAGCTCGAAAAGATGAACCAAAGCAAAATGGGCACCAAAAAGGCGAGCCTTTACATGTTGTGTAAACCACTTCAAATACCAATAGCCTATTTATGTGACATTATGTATCGCGACCGCTCTACCCGTTCTCCCTCGCCGAAACGCCCTACCATCGGCATTCCCCCAATCATGGTCTCGATGGACGTGGTCAGCGGCGTCTCCGCCGACATGGACACGGACGCGGACGCGATGGTGGCGGGCGACTCGGGCAGCAAGCACAACGGCGGCCGCAGCGCCGCCGTGTGTGCCGTCAACAGCATGGTCTCGGAGGCTTCCGCGGCGACCGTGGCCGTGTTGGATGTGATCGGGGGCGTCTCCGCTGGCATGGTCACGAACGCGACGGTGGCATTCGGCTCGGGCACTGAGCGCAACGACAGCTGCAGTCCGCACGCATGTTGCCACCGGTAGTAGTGTCAGCGGCGTCGCCAGCGACATCGACAGCAGGGTCTCGGACACGATTGAGGTGACCGTGGCCTTGGTGGACGTGGTCAGCGGCGTCTCCGCCGACATGGACACGGACGCGGACGCGATGGTGGCGGGCGACTCGGGCAGCAAGCACAACGGCGGCCGCAGCGCCGCCGTGTGTGCCGTCAACAGCATGGTCTCGGAGGCTTCCGCGGCGACCGTGGCCGTGTTGGATGTGATCGGGGGCGTCTCCGCTGGCATGGTCACGAACGCGACGGTGGCATTCGGCTCGGGCACTGAGCGCAACGACAGCTGCAGTCCACACGCAGGTTGCCACCGGTAGTAGTGTCAGCGGCGTCGCCAGCGACATCGACAGCAGGGTCTCGGACACGATTGAGGTGACCGTGGCCTTGGTGGACGTGGTCAGCGGCGTCTCCGCCGACATGGACACGGACGCGGACGCGACGGTGGCGGGCGACTCGGGCAGCAAGCACAACGGCGGCCGCAGCGCCGCCGTGTGTGCCGTCAACAGCATGGTCTCGGAGGCTTCCGCGGCGACCGTGGCCGTGTTGGATGTGATCGGGGGCGTCTCCGCTGGCATGGTCACGAACGCGACGGTGGCATTCGGCTCGGGCACTGAGCGCAACGACAGCTGCAGTCCGCACGCATGTTGCCACCGGTAGTAGTGTCAGCGGCGTCGCCAGCGACATCGACAGCAGGGTCTCGGACACGATTGAGGTGACCGTGGCCTTGGTGGACGTGGTCAGCGGCGTCTCCGCCGACATGGACACGGACGCGGACGCGACGGTGGCGGGCGACTCGGGCAGCAAGCACAACGGCGGCCGCAGCGCCGCCGTGTGTGCCGTCAACAGCATGGTCTCGGAGGCTTCCGCGGCGACCGTGGCCGTGTTGGATGTGATCGGGGGCGTCTCCGCTGGCATGGTCACGAACGCGACGGTGGCATTCGGCTCGGGCACTGAGCGCAACGACAGCTGCAGTCCGCACGCATGTTGCCACCGGTAGTAGTGTCAGCGGCGTCGCCAGCGACATCGACAGCAGGGTCTCGGACACGATTGAGGTGACCGTGGCCTTGGTGGACGTGGTCAGCGGCGTCTCCGCCGACATGGACACGGACGCGGACGCGATGGTGGCGGGCGACTCGGGCAGCAAGCACAACGGCGGCCGCAGCGCCGCCGTGTGTGCCGTCAACAGCATGGTCTCGGAGGCTTCCGCGGCGACCGTGGCCGTGTTGG